CACTCGCATGGTCAGGGGGCAGCAGGGCAGGCCCTACGAGGAGAGGCGATGGGACCTGAACCTGATCAGCCTCCACAAGAGAAGGCTGAGGGGGATCTAGTGGCCGTCTATAAACTGGCCAAGGGAGACCAGCGGGGAATGGGGGAGTCCCTGTTCCCCCGAGCACTGCCGGGAGTAACGAGGAACAATGGCCACAAGTTGACATAGAGTAGATTCAGGCTAGACATCAGGAGGCGGTACTTCACGGTCAGGGCGGCTAGGATCTGGAACCAACTTCCAAGGGAAGTGGTGCTGGCTCCTACCCTGGGGGTCTTTAAGGGGCGGCTGTACAATCACCTGGCCGGGGTCGTTTGACCCCAGTACTCTTCCTGCCCATGGCAGGGGGTCGGACTTGATGATCTGCTCAGGTCCCTTCTGACCCGACCAACTACGAAACTATGAACCTATGAAGACAAGGGGTCGTTAATGCCGGTAGCTTAGAGGCAGTCGGGTAGGTTACACTGAGCCATGGGGTGGATGGGCTCAGTCCCTGCTGCCCCTCCAGGCCGTGGAGCAGGACCCAGAGCAGGGTGCGAGTGTGCCAGTGCCCCCGGATCCGCCCGGCCCCACCGATCTCTGTCTCCGCAGAGTGCCGGGAGCTGCTCCTACACATGGCGGTCCCCATCCTGGAGGAGATGATCAAGATGGGGGAGGAGGAGGAGGCCTGCATCGACCTGCTCAGCAACACCCTGGAGGTGCTCTACAAAGCCGAGAAGGTAAAGCCTGCGCCACTGGCCGGGCCCGCTCAGCCATGCCCAGCCTGGGCCGCCCGTGCCGGGGAAGGCCCTGGGCACGTGGGACGGGACCGGCCCCGGGCACCACGGCGCAGCCCTGTCCGCGGCAGAGAGCTGGGCTCCGCACGGGCAGGGGCTGCTCCGCGGCGCGGCTGCCCACACCCTGCCCGCTCTGCCTGTTGGGAGCCTCCTGGGTTCCCGTGGGATCTCTCTGTGGCTGCTCTTTTCCAGCTGCAAACTAGGAGCTGGGGCAAACGCAGGGGTAAGAGGAGCCATTTAAACTAGCCACCAGTCGGGGCATGAGAGCAGACGGGGTGAGCGTGGGGCCGTGCCGGGCAGGGCACCGGGGCTCGGCGGCGGGCTGACTCGCCCGTGCTCGTAGGCTCTTTCCGGTCCACCCGGGTGAAACATCTGGAAACGGGACAGATCAAAGCCCAGTTCAGCAACGCAGGAATAACAGGCAGTCCCCCCCACCATCCCGCGAGAGGTCCTGGGCTGCCCCCGAGCCCCTGGGAGAGGAGCATGAGAGACAGGACGGGCCTGGGGTCAGGTGTAACGTGGCATCTCCTCTGCTCCTCTGGTATCGGCGCTTGTTGTTTGTCTGCGCCTGGTGCAATCGGGGCTCGCCGTGCCTAGGGAGATGGACCCCGGCCTCGGGGGTCACAGCCTGAAGAGTCTGGGTGGGCGCACCGGGAGGCAAGGCGAGGGCCGTGCCGTGCCGTGCCCCAGCTGCAGAGAAGCAAAGTGACGCTCGCTCTCCGGGTCCAGAAGGAGCCGGGCATGGGGCTGGCTGGAAAGGGGCAGTTTTTGCCACCTTGGTCTTGCCAAAAGCATGGTGTGAGACGTCCCTCCCTGCTCCCAGCTTGGAGCAGGACGCTGGACCAGCCGCTGGCAGGCAGCATCCCCTCGGCAGGCCCGGCCCGGGTGCGGTGCAGCGTGCAGGACCGGTGCAGGAGGGAGGCTCAGCGCAGCCATGCTCTTGGGCTCGTCTCGGGGTCGCGGCTCGTAGTGAATTTTGCCCCGCGTTCTTGGTTGCAGAGAGCAGAAGAGCGGAGGGCGCGGCAGAGCACGCAGGAGACGCAGCGCTGCGGGGAGGAGGACACGGAGCTGGTGAGTGTCACGCAGCAGAAAAGGGACGGGACGCGGCCCGAGCACTCTCCATCTCCGTCCCTGGGAGTTTCCAGGAGCAGGTTGGACAGGCCCGTGGCTGCGATGGTTTAGTCAGGGCTGATCCTGCCTCAGGCAGGGGTTGGGGGCGATGAGAGCTTGCAAGACCCCTCCAGCCCCCCGGTCCCATGAGCAGTGCCTGGAAGGGAGGGCAGGAGAGGGAAGGGAAGGCCTGCGCCTGCTGAGAGCATTTCCCAGGCGGGCTGCGCGGTCAGCGAAAGGCCCATGCCCGACCAGGTGGGGAATGGGGAAGCCGCTCAGAGCCCCCCGAAATGCCTGCAGACGAATGCTGGGGCCAGGGTCCCAGGGCAGCGGCATGAAAACCAGCAAGAAAAGCTGCAGAAAGCTGCCTGGAGGTGCACCCCAGCCAGGGCCGAGCCTGTGGGGAAGGACCACGGACTTCACCACATGGAAAAGCACCCGGAAAGGAGGGTGGGAACGAGCAGGGCCCCACGGGGAGCAGCAAACAGCGCTGCTCGGCGAAGGCCGCCACGTCCCGTGAGCCAAGGAGCGCAGAGAGAGCGAGCAGCGCCGCACGTCGGGCAAGAGGAGCTGCTCCGGAGGAAACGGGCTGGGTACGGTCCAGGAATGCTTTGCCCTCAGCAAGGACAGGGCTCCCCTGAGGGCAAAGGCGGAAAGGCCGGGGGAAGGAAGGTCAGGGTTCGTGGGCTGTGTCTGACGCCCAGACTTCCCCGAGGTGTCTGGTTTGAGGGCTGTGTCATTCAAGGCTTTCTTTAGAAAGCCGCTTCACTACAGCCCTAGTTATACCTGTCGGCAGGGCTTAGGCCCATGCTGGGTCAGAAGTCCCCAGGATGTGTTTCTTCTCGGTTCACGGCTCGATAGGCTGTGACGGCCTCTTAAAGCAGGGCGAAAGCACTTGGAAATCCCCACGACAAGGGTGGCGGAGTCCAAAGGGAATAAATTCAAATAGCTTCAGGAAAAGGCAGAGGCCTTCCTCCATGCCTGTGCGAAGCAGGGTCTGTGCAGCCCCGTGTGTGCCCGTGGCCTCTGCTTGTGTCTGAGCCCCGGTGAGGGACCAGGGCTTTCCCACTGCAGCGGTGCTAAGCGTCCCTCCGTGGTGCAGTGCAGGAGACCTCACCACTCCTGCAAGGGGAAAGCACTTGCCCTCCACTGCTTGGAAATTGCTCCTCAAGCCCCCGTGTCCGGGTATCTGGTGCCCGGGGCTCCTCAGCCTGGTGCCATTTCTCCGGTAGCTGAAGTCCCGGTGCTGCTCGAGGGCTTCACTCAGCAGCGGGCACGCTTTCCATGCTGCGGTGCTCCAGACCGCTGCAATCAGCGCCGGTGCTTGGCGGGCGGCATGCCTGGCACCCGCTCATCCCGCGCCGGCACCTTCAGCATGTGCCTGCACCAGCCTTGCTCTGCCGTTGGCCACGATCACCTCCGCGCTCCCGATCCTGGCACGGATCAGACCACATGCTCGTTCAGGCCCCGGAGCAAGAAACCGCCGGAGCGCCCTGTGAGGTCCTGGTCATTTGCAAGGGACGGCCCACATCTGCGGTCGCAGGAGAAGCCAGTGGCAGGCAGCTGTCTCCTGCCTGCAAGGACAAGCACCGTTTTGCGGAGGAACACGGTGCATCTCTTCCTGCTACCTTAGCCTCCGCGGGTGGGGGCAGACGGGGACCAGCCATGCTCTTCCCGGCGCGTGCCGGACGGGGTCTGAGAGGAGAGAGGCCGGAGTGTGTGAGGGGCATCACCTCCCGGGTCACCTCCTCCCGGGGCCCCGCCACGGGGCCTTGCACATGCCGGGGACAAAGGCAGCAAGCAGGAAGCTGGCTGGGAGCCAGGGGTGGAAATCTCCCACCAGAGCAATCGTTTGTTGCAGAATTGTAAAATTCTCGTGGTGTCACTGCAAGCAGGAAGAGTCACAGAGTCACAGACGACGCGGGTGGAAGGGAGCGCAGGAGGTCACGTCTAGTCCAGCCTCTGCTCCAAGCAGGACCGGCCGCAACTGCATCGTCCTAGCCAGGGCTTGGTCTAGTCAGGTCTTCAAAACCGCACAGGATGGAGACTGCACCACGTCTCTGGGGAGCCTGTTTCCATGCTTCACCCTCCTCATGAGAAAGTTTTTCCTAATATCCAACCTCAACTTCCCTTGCTGCAGCTTGAGCCCATTGCTCCTTGTCCTGCCATCTGCCCCCACTGAGAACAGCCCAGCTCCATCCTCTTCGCAACCCTCTGCAGGGAGGTGAAGGCTGCTATTCAATCCCCCTCGGTCTTTTCTTTTCCAAACTAAATCAGCCCAGGTCCCCCAGCCTCTCCTCACCAGTCCTGTCCCCCAGCCCCACAACCATTTTCATTGCCCTCCGCTGGACTCTCTCCCATGTGTCCACATCCTTTCTGTAGTGGGGGGCGCACAGCTGAACACAGGACTGCACATGTGGCCTCCCCCGTGCTGAACAGAGGGGAAGAATCACTGCCCTCCATCCGCTGGCAGTGCTCCTACCCATGCAGCCCAGGATGCGGTTAACCACCTTCGCAACAAGGGCACACTGCTGGCTCCTGTCCAGCTTCTTGTCCCCTGTCCCCCCAGGTCCTTGTCTGCAGAGCTGCTGCCCAGCCCGTCGCCCCCCGCCCGTACCGCTGCGAAGGACTAGTTCTTTGCCCCTGCTGGAAAGCCTGGCCGGGCTCTGCAGAGACGGTTCATCTAGGTTTTCCCCACGCCGAGCTCCTCTGGTCGTGAGGAAATGCCTCGTTGTAGGGATGGAGCTGGAACGGGCTGTCCGCTAGCACAGGCACAACAATTCCCCGCAGGGAGGGGAGTCCCGGAGCCCTGCTGGAGTTTCGTCTGGGGCTGGTCACTACAAGGGCTCAGCCCACCTGCCCAGCCCATGCCGGGGTCCACGTGCCTCCTGGCTGGTGAGGGCAGTCAGACAGCACCGGGTCCCCTTTCCTCCCAAGGCAGCGCCTTCTCCTCTGGAGAAAGGGGCCGTGGCGGCTGCTGCTCAGGTGCTTGTCAGTGTTTCCAGCCTTAAGGCCCACAGAGATGGAGAAGAGCTCTCGAGCTTTACCCCCAGGACAAAGTGGACACAGCCAGGGTCCCTCCCCAGCCCCTGGCAGTGGGGCGTAGGGCCATCGTGCCCCTCCGGGGCTGGCTGCCTGTCCCGCTCCTGCCGGGGAAACCTCCATCCGAAGTGCCAGCACTCACCCGAGACGACTCCAGGGCCAGGCAGAGACGGGCGATACCCTGCGATCTCCCTGCGTCCTCCCTCTCTGCATTCAGGCTCTGGCCCTAACACGTCTTGCCTTGCAGGGGAGGGTGAAGAGACACGTCAAGATGATCCTGGAGAGGCTGCTGCGCACCGTCAACTGCCGGGTGATTGTCCTGGACCGGGAGCACGGCCTGCGAGTGAGTACTGCTGCCTCGCGGCTCCGGGCTCTGCTGGGCTGGGGTGGGTCTCTGGGGGTCCTGGGGGGGCCGCGGCCTGGGCATCAGCTCTGGCGAATGTGTCTAGGAGGTCCCGGAGGGGGTCAGAGGCACGGACAACTCGTCGCACTGTTGGAGAAATACGTCCCCGGGGCAGGGAGGGGTTGCAAAGCGGGGCTGGACGTGTCGGGAGGCTGGCGTGAGCGCGGAGCGTCGAGCATGGCAGCTCCGTCCGAGGTCCTCGCCCATGGCCGTGGCCGGGCAGAGCTCTGGCTCTATGGCTCCAGTCCAAAATTCACCATTGGTTTGGACAGAGCTCATCCCACCTCGGGCAGGGCCGGACTCGAGGTGACCTCAGGGCCTCTCCGCCCTTTCCCCATGTCTTGTGCCGAGAGAGACGTTGCTCTGGCCCTGCCCGGGGCAGGTGCCAGGGCTTTCAGGGTGTGCGACAGGCGAGTCCGGAAGGCGTGAGATCGGGGCTCTTCCGGTTGCGGCCGTCGGTGTCCACTGCTCCCAGGCGGCCCTTTGTACTGCAGCGAAGGCGAAGAGCAGCCTTGGCTGATCTCGGGTAGGAAAGGGAAGCCCCGGGGCTGTAGGCCAGGGTCACCTTTAGTCCTGGCAGAGTGTGGGCCCACGACCTGGAGCGCCGACCTCCCAAAGTGCTTTTTGCCAGTCCGTAGACAACAGATACATTTGGTAATATCTCCCGGCGACCAGCTCGTCATTGGTCTAGTAGCTGCCTCCGCCGAGCCGCTCATTTTCATGCTGCCTCGGTGCTCCGTGATTGCAGCGGGGGCTGCAGAGTTTCGTCGTCTTCTTCCGCTCCTGGAAGCTGGGGAAAGGGGCATAAACCCGCCAGCGTCTTCCCTGCTTGGCAAGCTCCAGGAGGCTGGAGGCTCATGTGCCCGGGGCCACAGCGAGCCGAGCTCTCCTTTTCGTGGCAGCAGCAGGTGCAGAGAGTGGGCCCGGGGGAGTGAGCACACCGCAAAGCTCAGGCATGTTGCGGGCAGGGATGCGGTTGCATCCCTTGCAGTCCCCGTTGTCCCTCGTCCGGGAACACGCGTGGCCTGGCCACCAGTCCTGTGGCTCTTGTGTCTGCGGTGCCACTAATTGCTCCAGATCCGTGTCCTGTCCCACGGAGGAGCTCCTGTCCTCAGGGCCCCGTAGCTCATCGTTCTGCCCCAGGGGCACGGCTCAGAGCTGCGGCCACTGGTCCCTTAGGGCATGCCTGGCCTCATTCGGTACGGACGTGCTCATCCGGGCCCCGTGCTGAAGATGCTGCCTCCCAGGCCAGCTGAGCTGGGAACATGAGGATGAATGGGTCAAAGCCTCAGCAGGGACCTGCCGCCAGTTCTAGCGCCCAGTAGATGCCACGTGTGTGCCGCAGTGCAACCCAGAGGTGCGAAGGAGCACGGGAACGCCGCACTGGCCTCTGCATGCCAAGGGCTGTCCTGCCAGCAGCTGCGTGGTGGGCAGGGGTGAGACCTGGAGCCACAGCCCAGCCACTCGCTTGGGCACCTGCAGCAAGTGGTCCCAGAGCCTGAGGCCAGAGGAAGCTCTTCCCTTGGGGAGAGCAGGGGCTCGTGCCCACGGCTGGGGGTCCTCAGCTACCGAAGCCCACTGTGGGTGACTCCCCTTCTGCACGGGCTCCATACAGACAAGCAGGGTTGCAGCCCAGAAAGCCTCCACAGTGCATCGCGGTTCAGGACGGGGCAGCTCAGGTTGGGGGCACGGGCTGCGGGCCCGGCTAGGGTCACCTTGCTTCCTCCCTGCCACCCTGCAGGGGCTGTGTGGTCCCCAGCCCCTGGGGCGCCACACAGATGCGCACTTCCAGGCGCACTTCCAGGCGCTGCATCTCCCTCCAACAAAGGGCTGAACTCTTCCCTTGGGGCCAAGCCGCCCCCACAGGACAGCACCGGCCCCCGGGAGCCCCCAGCCCTCATTACCATGCGCAGGCGGTCTCATTAGGACCTCGGTGCAGCTCTCGGTCCCAGTGGATCCCGCCTCCCCCTCAAGCCAGAATTGTTTTTTCCGAGCATGGCAGCGTCTCCTCGGTGCGCTGCATCGGGGGCGCTCGCCGCGTCGTGCTCCACGTGCAGAGGCCGCCCCTGCCCGCCTCCAGCCCCCGCTGATCTGGGCCCCTCATTAAACCATGAGCAAATCTCCCCCCTCATGGGCAGCCAGGCAGCGGCTGGAGTATTGGAGCTGCTAATTGCTCTCGCGCTGTAATGAGTCAGCGCATCCTGCAGCAGGGAGCTCCCAGCCTCGGCCCCCACCGCCCCCGGGAGACCTGACCAAATGCCTCAAGGCCGCGGCACTTCCATTGGGGACAAGCGAGCAAAGCTTCCACGTGAGCCGAGCTGGCCGGGGCTCAGACGGGCGCGCGTGGCAGAGCTGACCCCGTACGGGTCCATTTTGCTGGCACTGCTCCCTGTAGCTCCAGGCTCCGTGGGCCCTGGGGACCAGGAGCCTCGGATCCGCTTCCTCTTTGGGACCGGCGCCTCGAGGCACAGGGCCATCCTCCTTGGGCACGCACAGCAGCGCTGCACTCGGAGGGTCTCACCCCGCGATGGCCCCGAGCCGCTGGGAGCTGCCACAGCCCATCTATGATGACCCGACGCCCCTTGACCTGGCCTGTGCCGGGCTTGGGTGCCATGTCACGTGGCTGCATAGGGGCTGGGACCCCACTAGCGCGTGGCACCGTGTGCACGGGAACGTGTAGCACAGGGAGGGCCAGACATCTCTGACGGTGTCAGAAGCTGGAGGTGGAGAAGGTCCTGCCCGTCTCTTCCCTGCTGTTTCTCTGAGTGCCCAGGTTTCTCCTAAGCCCACACAGGAGAGCTGCCATGTCCCGGCCAGACCCCTCCCGTGTCTGGCTGCATGGTCAGAGCTGTTCCCAGGCTCGGCCCCTCGCTCCCCGGGCTCGGCGCGTGCAAGGGCAGCCCCGGTGCTTTGTGTGCGGAGAGGGGTGAGGGCATGGCCAGAGGCACCAGCAAGTCTGTGATGGGAGAGGCTTACTGGGTCACCACCACGAGCCCTGCGGGGCAGGGATGTTCCCCGCGGCGTCTCTAAGGTGTTCAGGTCCCTCCTCGCTGCTCGGCAGCCGGGGTCACTGGCACGGGATCGCAGCTGAGTTCAACTCCACTCACGTCTGAGCCTGGGAGGGACTGAAGTCTCCCAGGTTCTTGGGAATAAACTGAAATGTAAGCCCCCGCAGAGGCGCTGGCGCTGCTGCAGCCCAGGATGGGGATGGGGATGGGGATGGGGATGGGCTGTGCCAATGCTCCTGCTGCACCAGCCCCGCAGGGTCCTGGCCGGAGGAGGGGCGAAGGCGCGAAGGAGCTGAACCTGTCACTGGAGGCTCATGGACGGGAGTTGTGCGAACGCTAGAGAAGGCACTGGCTGCACTTGAGATGCACGGGCAGGAGCCCTAGTGTAGACAAGACTCCGGCAGCTTCCGCAGCATCTACCGTGATGGCAGCAATGGCCGTGCAGCGGGGATAGGCTGTCATCTCCAGCCCTCGTCTCCAGCGACCCCCTGCATGCCCCACAGGTCTTCCCGGGAACAAAAGCACACTGGCCAGGGCAGGGGTAACAAAAATAGCGTCTCCCTGGAGTTTATTGATTTCTCATGAAATACAGCATTGCCCGCCCCCCCTATTTACACAAGGGGTGTCAGTAAGGGAACCCGAGAGAGTTAGAAATAGAAAAGCTGGTGCTACCCAAACCCTGGCCTCGAAGAGAGGGAGAGCAAGGAGAAGAGAGTGCTTGTGGTGTCAGCAGTGGACAGTCCCGGGGACAGCGGGGCCCGTCCCGCCGCCGGGCAGTGCGTGTCTGCGTCCCGTCGCGGGCAGCGCCTTACATCACAGGAACCAGAAGCACTTGCGCCTGGATTTTTTGGAGTCCACTTTTGTAGGCAGCTTTGGCACCGGAGACGGCTCCTGCCGGCTTGGCGTGGCAGCTCGCGCCGCGGTCGGGGAGCTCGGGCCGGACTCGCTCTCGATGCTGCTCAGCACCCGCTGGAAACGGCCTTCCTGCTGCCGGAAATCGTGCTCCACGCTGTGCACCGGGGGAAAGGAGACCGGGTTAGTGGGGCCTGGAGCACAGCCGTCGTCCAGGCGCATGCCAGGCGGGGAGGAAGCTGGACAGGCGGCTCTTGGCCTGCAACGTCCCTCCTGCCAGCTGCCCTCTGCCCACGTGGGTCTGCCTGCACAGAGCCTGCTTCCCGAAGCAGCTCCCTCCCCGCGGCCCTTAGGGACGGGCCTCGCTGCGCGCGGGCAGCACCCGTGTGCGAGGGGCTGGACCGGCACAAGGGGCTTTGCCGACCAGTGCTCGAAGCACAGCTGCCTGCGGAGCACGGACCAGCGTTCCCAGCACCGGGGCAGCTCTCCCCACGTACGGTCACACCGTGGCTCTGGCTAGGACCCCGTGGGCTGCCTACCAGTGGACTGCTCTGTCCAGGGTCGCAGAGAGATGCAGCGGCCTGTGCCTTGGGCCCTTGCTAGTCACAGAGCAGCGAACAGGAGCTCCCTTGCTCCTCTGACTTGCCTGACCATCTCTATTGATTTGGCTCCCCCCAGGCAGGGCGCATGCAGAGAAAGATGGTGGGTGCATGAAAGCCTGGCTCGGAGAAGGGCCGGCGGGCCTGGACCCTGCATTGAATCCTTCCCCTGGCTCCTTTCCTTGGGCACTGAAGCCTGCAGGAAAAGCAGCCGGTCAAGGGCAAGCAGCGCTGAGCCAGCTGTGCAGGTAGCCCAGGGCCGTGTCTCCGCCAGGGCCGGTGCCAGCTGCTTCAGGCAAGGGCAGCATTGCTTGCACGAGGGGCTGTGGCTGACACCAGCAGCCAAGCAGCTCCTTTCCCCTAAGCTCAGTCTCCCCAGATCGGATGCACTTGGCCTTGACACCCCTGTTCATTCAGCCGAGCAAAACGGTGGTACTTGTCAGCAAAGACGGAGACAATCCACCTGCTCCAGCGCCAGACCCTGCTCCCCAGAGACTCGCCTGCCTCAGACTGCCCATTCGCACCGGGCATCCCCGCGGTGCCCGACACAACGGCACTGCTCCAGGGGACTGTCCCTGGGCCGCAGCGGCGCGGAGAAGGCTGGAGTTCGACTGTGGCCAACCCCCCCGTCAACCCTGCCTCTGCGCGGCTCTTGGCGGGCGATGAGCCGCGTGGCCTGGCGGGGCAGGACGCTTGTCCCTGCTGCAGTGGGAACACGCTGGCACCCACGTCACTGTGGCACTGGGGACCCCCAGTGACCGGCTCCACCATGCAGCCTCGGGCTCTCTCTCAGGCTTTGTTTCAAAGGAGTGCACTTTTGGACGCCCGCTCTCCAACTGCTGTGGGCCAGAGGCACCGCAGAAGTCAGCTCGCTTCACCAAGAGTCCCGCAGGCAAAGCCCGAGTTCGGGGCACTCCCGCGTGGTGCAAGACGGAGCTGTGCAGGGATCCCCGACCAGAAGCAGCGTTGCCACGTGGGCACGGGGCCAGGCCAGCTCCACCGAGCGGCAGAGTGCGCGGCCCAAGGGCAGCGCTGTGAACACGGCGGCCCTGCCCGTGGGAGAGCTGGCGTGTGCGGGGGTCTGGGCAAGGCACCTGGGCACAGCAGGTCTCTGCCGTGGCCTTGAGGCTTGGTGCCTGTGGCACGGGGGGGCACCTGCCCACGTGGCCTCGGGGGTTTGCACGCCCTGTGCCCTCACAAAAGGGGCAAGGAGATGCCGTCCTGGAGATGCGCCCCCAGCGCACAGCTGGTCAGAGCTGGCCCGGGTGTGGCTGCATGGCCGGAGATGCAGGAGACCCGTGCTGTGCCCCTGGCCTTCTGGGCGGCCTCAGGGAAGTAATTTCCTCTCTTGGCCTCAGCCCTCACTTGTGATGGGGATTATTGTCCCCACGGCTCTGTCTGCCTGCTCTACTTCGACTGTAAGCAGGTCACGGCAAGGCTGTCTCCCTGCGTCTGTGCCGAACGGAGCCTGGATTTCAGTCACAGCTGCAAGGGAAATAACAGCACAAGGAGGCTTTGCTCAGCAAGGGGCTCTGGGACCTTGAGCATCCAGGCGCCCCTTGCCCCACAGCTGAGCCGCGGGCAGAGCTGGCAGGGAACCCACGGGTCGCACCGATCTCCGTTAACCCGGGCGGCACCGTTCTCTGCTGCCCCAGCGTACAGCCTGGCAGCCACCCAGCAGCATGGAAATGGGGAAGCGGGGGGCCCGGGCACGACGCACCCCATGTGTCCGTCTCCTCGTGCCGCTGCGTCCCACCAGAAGACTTGGCGCGGCACGTGGACGGCCGCGAAGCCCAGAGGGAGTCCGGAGCGAGAGCTGACAAATGCACCAACCCGCCTCCTCCAGATGTGACATCTCTTCCCAGACACAGCGCCACGCAGAGACAGGCTCGTCAGTCCCGATTAGCACTGAAATCCCCCACGAGCGACGCGGTGGGGGGGCTGCTGTTAGCTCTGCTGCAGACACGCACGGGGCCAGAGACACAGATACAATGAGGAGAGACGTGCACGCAGCGCAGCAGGCATGCGACGGGCTGCGGGAGAGATGCCTGTGCGTCGGGGCAGGGCGGGGGGCCCGCACATGCATGCAGGCACCCCGAGAGAGCCCCTTACTCCCTCATGGTGGGACACGCACAGAGCAGGCAGCCGCCACTTGTCCACGCACACGTGCATGCGGGGAAGCCTTGCTCGCTGTCGGCTCCGCAAAGGGGCAGTGCAACCCCGACCCCGGAGAAGACACAGGTAATGACAAGCCAGGGCCATGCACGTGCACACGGAGGAAGCTGAACACCGGCAGCCAGCGCCCGGTGCACACACACCGAGACACCCGGGGATGCCTGGACATGCAGCAGGACACACCCGGGTACCTCCTCCCAGAGGCCAGTGGGCCGGCCCCCGCCCTCGCAGGACAGACAGGAGCAGGGCCACTCCTCTGCCCCGTGCTCGGGACTGGGTGACTTCTCTGTGGTGCACGGGACGAGATCTGGGGAAAGGGGGAAATGGAGAGAGGTGTTCCCCCCATGCACCAGGCTGGGCGCAGCCGCCCAGGGCCCCACGCGCCAGCCGAGGGGAAGCCGGTGCCTGCCGCGGCGGCGAAGCAGCACGGGCTGAAGGGTCGTGTCGGGACGTGACGCTGGACAAGGGGCTGTCACTCCTCGCACGGCGCTCTCATCACACCTGCCGAGAGCCTCGCCGGAGCCGAGACCGAGGGACGCTGCGCACCAGGCGGAAAAGGCAGCAGACGCTCGGCCCCGGCCCCATCCCCATCCCCATCCCCAGCACGCGGCGCTGCTGGCAGCCCCCTTCCCAGCCCTCAGCCCGCCTCGGTGTGCCAGCCCTGCACGGCACCGCCACGGGTGCCAGCATCACGGCCTGACCCCCGGCATCGCACCCAGCCCGAGGGCAAGAGAGGCAGGTGAGAGCTGCAGAGCTCACCGCCCCCCTTAGTGAGCGACGCCGAGGTTTACGGCCCTCGCTGTAGCGCGGGTCCCTTGTTTGGTCGCGGTCGGCCTGGTTCAGCCTCCAGCATCGTCGGTCCCCCTTTGCTGCAAGGTCAAAGCCCCTGGCTACCAGCAGCCCTCTCTCGTGTGGGTGCTTGCTATCCCACGCACCGCCCTCGCACTCCCAGCTCCCCGCCGTGCCTCTGCGTCTGTCCAAATGCCAGGCCGTCATCGCAGTGTGCCTGGGCCCTCTGTTTTGAGGGGGGCCCGTGCCCCCGGCGGCCTTGCAATCCCTTGTGCAAGTGAAGCCCGTTTCTGATGTCACCCAGTGCCCTGCGCCCGTGTGCATCTTGCCCCTTGATCCCTCTGCTTTGCAGCCCGGACCCTGCGTAGCAGCTCATCTCCGCGTCCCGGCGGGTGTAGCTGACAGCCCGTCTGCCTTTGGGGAGGTCGCTGCACTGACCCGACGGCGAGCTGTGCTTGTCCGCAGCTTGAGGTGCAGTTTCCCCCAAACCCCTGCACCACCTCTGTGAAACCTGGCAGGCTTCGTGGCCTCAGCGAGAGCCGCCGGCCCTGCAACTTTCACCCGCTGTAGCGTAACACACACACGTGACGTGAATTTTGCTCTCAGCCCTTTGGGGTGCGGTGTCCCCGAACCCCTGCACCTATCACCTTGAAACTTGGGAAGCATCATGCTCCCAGCAGAGGCTACCATCCCGGCAAGTTTCATCTGAATCAGCCAACAGACAACAAAGTTATAGATATTTCATTGATTCCTCTTTATACCCTATGGCCAAATCTCCAAATCTTTTCCGAATCGATTCGGAAAGCCTACAGCTTCCTGCGATTCAATCTGGATTCATAGACTCCAGCGTGCAGAGGCCCTGCCCATCCCTGCTGCGCTGCTTGGGAGAGCTGGCCCGTGCTCTCCTCTCCCGCTGCGGCCCCAGAGGGCTGTGGCTACCCGTGCACCGGGCTGGGTCCTCCTGCAGGGCCTCTGCGCAGAGGCCAGAGGAAGGATAGAAAGACCCAGGCACTGCCACACGCCCTCATGCCCTCCTTTGGGCACTGCCATGATGCGAAAGGGGCATTGGCGAGGACAGGATGACACGCAGGTGCACAGGGGGATCTCTGAGTCATAGACTTCATAGACATTAGGGCTGGAAGGGACCTGGAAGATCATCGAGTCCAGCCCCACACCCGAAGGGCAGGAAGTCAGCTGGGGTCATAGGATCCCAGCAAGATAAGCATCCAATTTACTCTTGAAAGTGTTCAGTGTGGGCGCTTGAACCACCTCCGGCGGCAGGCTGTTCCAGACCTTGGGGGCTCGGACAGTAAAGAAATTCTTCCTTATGTCCAGCCTGAATCGGTCTTGCAGGAGTTTATGACCATTCGACCTCGTCATCCCTTGGGGCGCTCTGGTGAACAAACGTTCCCCCAGATGCTGGTGGTCACCCCTGATAAACTTGTAGGTGGCCACCAGATCACCCCTGAGCCTGCGCTTTTTCAGGCTAAAGAGCCCCAGGGCTCTCAGCCTGTCATCGTAGGGTCTGCTTCCCTGACCTCTGATCATGCGCGTGGCTCTTCTCTGGACTCTCTCAAGCTTCTCCACATCCTTTTTGAATTGTGGAGCCCAAAACTGGACACAGTACTCCAGCTGCGGCCTCACCAAGGCCGAGTACAGGGGGAGAATGACGTCCC